ACAGAGTTAACTGTTGCAGCAATTAACTGTTTGAGACACACAAGCCTTCAATTTATTTAAAATTAGCACTTTCATGAATGAAAACATTGAATTTCTCTTAGTAAATCTTATGAACAAATATTTATTTCAACACATTATTTAAAATCTAAACTAATATATTTGTTATGATTATATATAATATGATTAAAAATCACTCACTAATATGAATGTCTACGTGTGATGTAAAATTCAATAAAACTAAAGAGTTTTCTGTACTTTAGTTTTGGTAAAATCCATGAACCAATATTATTTATTTTAAGAAAATAATATGAATGTGTAAAATATATAACAGAGAATTAATATAAAAAAATCTAAATTTTACTATTTTCTGTTAAGAATGTGTACCCTTGGTGCAAATTTTACTAAAAACTGTACACATTTACCATAATAATTTTAACGTTCTATGCTACTATACTTGATTGTATCATATTTTATTAATATTTAAAATATATATCCAACGTGTCACACAATTTTAATTGCAACTGTCCATTTTAATATTTATTTATTCAGTTGTACAACCACACAACTATGTAGTTAATTTGCACTCGGCCTTCTTTTTGCGCATTTCGTTAAAACTTTATGAATAATTTTAAACTCATACACATGTTTTCCAAGTCACTTTAAATTGTGGAGTTTTCAGTATTATTTAGTTACAAAAATGAATTTTATTTAGTCCATAATTAGCCAACTATGTACTGTACTTTTTGTGGAACCTGGAACAAAATCTTCTATTAGGATATATCAAAAAAACGAAAATCAGAAAATAATCGAAAGTAACTTTATTTCAGTTAATAAAAGAGGTAAAAAAATGTACAATAATTATAATTACATGCTTTACGTATTTAAATCTAAATATCTGAAATTTGTATTGTTTCAACTGAACATTTTGATCATGTAATTATTAAATTTTTTATTATCAATTTGTCTCTGAATTATATAGAGAAAATCATTGCATTTCAAATTAGCAAATAGTATCTTGAATATCAATTTTTTTGGATACTACTATCCTGTATTAACATTTTTGTTCAGAAAAAGATAGAATATTTTGTGAAAATCTTAATTAATACAAATTGCAGAATTAGTATATTTTTGTAATTGTTTCTATACTATTCAGTATCGAATCTTAGGTAAGAATAATATATAGAAAATATTTCTTCAAAGCAAATCTACAAGTCAAATTTTTAAAACATCAATAAAAATTATTTAAGTATCTTAATCATAGAACAAGAATTTCTGAAAACACTGAATTTCTTACATATTATCAGTCATTTTTTAAAGCAATAAATCAGAAACAGTAATGAATAATTGTAATTATTAGAAATAGTGAGAGTAATTATAATAAAAAATAATATTTTTGAAGTGTTTAATAAAGCATATCAAAAAGTGGAATAAGTGTACTATAAAAAATAGGTATAATAAGAAAATGTATAAAATTGCCCTATTAGGAATAACTAAAAAATGGAATATTTTTAGTGAAAGTAGAGTTTTAACCCTTTCCACTCGCAAATTTCGAGATTGGTATGAATTTTCCTCCGGCGGCATCCGAATTGAAAGGGTTAACTTATATTCACAAATATATCATTGAAAAAATCGAATTAGAATAATATTTAGTAAAATATAATAATCAATAAAAATACTCGAATAAGTCCAATATTTAATAAAGAATATTTTTCAAATGAAAATAACATTAGAAAAAGTTAATTTTAAAAAAGTATAAAATTCAGAAAGTAAAATATCCAAAAATGTGTTTAAAAGTGCAATACTTAAAAAAGTATAATCCATAATCAATAAAGCATGAGAAAAGTATAATTTTGAAGACGATATAATAAATGAAAATATTAAATCCCTGATAATTCTAAAAGGAAATAATGAAACCATGATAATTTTAAAATCAAGATAATATCAAAACCATAAAAGTTTCAGTATGAAATTTGGAAAAAATGTTATATCAAAAATATAAATTTGCAGCTAGTAATTTTTGTTCAAAAAAAATTATATTCAAGTGTAAAACTACTCCAGAAAGTATTTATAATTGAGTATAATTTTTCAAGATAAAATAAGATTAATTCATGATGATAATATAAAAAAATATATAATTCAAGAAGTAAAATTAAATATCCAAAAAATATATTTAAAAAGTGCAGACTCATAAATAGTATAATTTCAATAAAGTATGTGTAAACCCAGACAACACAAGACATCCCGGAGAATGTCCACAGGATATCCACGCGCGGACATTCATTGTCCCTGCGATAGCCTTACGGATATCCCGCTTATCCTGATCTTATCCGAAACATGTTAATATGTCGCACCTATGGGACGTTCTGTAGGATATCCCGCGCGGGATATTCCGGACATAAACCGGACATGAATAGGATATAATTATGGAATTGTTTTTTACTTTTTAGATAATAATTATAATTAAATAAATTAAATAAAATGAATTAAAAGAACACAATTTCACAAAGTAAACTTTTATTACAAAATAACAAAATCCTGAGATAATTTTATAACAAAATTTAATATATACAACTTTAATTCAAAATAACTTATTTTACAATATTAAAAATATAATTAATTCGGCATTCAATCCTAGTTCATGGTTGATTTTCTCTCCTGAAATAGAAAACAAATGAATAAATGCATATATATGTATATATATATGAGTAAGTTCTTTAAGAGTGATACATCAATCAAAATGGACAGAGATTTATAAAATAATCTCTAATTCCAAATATATCGACACAATTTGATGTCATTACGAGTGAATATTAAACTTTGTTTTTTACATCTAAAAATGTGTACACAGCACAAATTTTGCACTAACATTGATACAACTAACCAGTCAATAATCATGATTTTTTTGTAAATAGGAAAAACATATAGTACACATCTCACAAAAATACCTTGTATAATATTTATTGGCACATCGCAGCCAGCTTTTTGCAGCCTCTGAAACAGTAAACTATGTCTCATGCGGCAAATTTTTCAAAGCAATTCCTGGAATTGATTATATATTAGTTTAATTCATAATTTACAACACATCATAAGTATAAGATATATAAATTACCTGTGATGACATCGCAAGGCACTAGATCACAAAATTTATTTTTGCCCTTTCCTCGTCCCTAGCAAAATTCTTTGTCCAAACCATCATCAAAAATGGATTTTCATAGCTGGACTCTGATGGCTAAATACAGAATATAAAGAGAAAGTTTGTTTAGTATATGATAAAGTTAACAAATAAAAATAAATCTATATAAACTTTTGATTACCAATTGTATTTTGATATCTTTGCTCAGAAATATAGCCTCCATAAGTTGAAGCTCCTCCAACAAACATAGTGGAGAGCATTTCTTCTTTGTTAATTCTCTTTCAAACACAGCATTTGATACAAAATTAGGCATGGCTGCTGGATAAGCTGGCAGGGTAGAAATGTCAGCATTAAATTAAAAATTCTATTTGTACTAGTAACATAGTATTTCAAATAACAGTATACAGAAAGCTTTAATTACCATCGTTTATATCTGCCCCCTTTTCAATATGTTGGCTGCAATATTTAAACACACGCGCACATATAATTATATAGAACACATAAAATTTCCACTATTATTACTCAATTTTAGAGTATTTTGATAAATAATATTAATTATTTATAACACACGCTCATATAATTATATAAAGCAAATAAAATTTTCACTATTATTACTCAATTACTAAAAAAACTATGATAATTCGACATATAGACGCTATATGCTTAACCTTAAAGGACGAAGGACGCAAAACCGACGCGACGAAAGAGAAAGGGACAAACATATACGTTTCGAGGTCTCAAGCCGTGCGCGTATTATGAGAGCGACACATAGACCTTATACAATTTTGAAATTGTATAAGGTCTATGGAGCGACATGTTCTGAACCGTTCGTTATACCTGCTCGAGTCCTTTGGTTTTGAGACGTCCCGTTGCATATTCATAGGATATTCATAGGATATCGCGATATTAGGAGATTGTGAGGACAAGTGGGACATTCCCTGGCATGTCTTGTGCTGTCTGGGAAGGATACTTTTGAAGAAGATATATTGTGTATGAAAATATTAAAACCATGATAATTTTAGAACCATAAAAGTATATTTTTATTTTTTATTGTTATACTTTTATATTTGTTATGGCAATTCCATGAAATTTGGATAAAATGTACTCCAGTAAATTTCCAGCAAGTAATTTTTGTTTAAAAAACAGGTATGTATATTTAAGTGTTGACCAACTCCATATATTATATTTAATTATAATTTTCCAAGATAAAATATGATAAATTTGTGATAATAATATAATATGAAAAGTACGGTTAGTATTTGCTCAATATTTAAGCTAAATCAAAGATTTTAATCAATTTTGTGCAATTTATTATATGAAACGTATAAGAATTCTTCCTAGGTATAAATACATACCTGTGACATTGAAATTTAATCCCCATATGCACTGTAACTTTCACTACAAATTAATATATATGATTCAAAACTGAATTTTATTATTTGTCACTAATTTATTATAAAATGATACAGGTTTTTATATCAAAATAACACTTTATAACCTGTCAAAAATAAATACACAACTGGCAGTTATCAATGGAGTGTAACAAATGGTATCTTTTGACTTGTTGCGTCAACAAAGAGAATTTCGAACGGAGTTTGCCGAAAGGTTAAACGGAAACGGCCGAAGACAAATGTCAAAAGAACTGTCAAGTTTAATGGTGAAGTTATCGTTATAATGGATAACTGCCAACTTCACGACTGAAAATAATGACTTTTGACAGCTGAATATGACACATTTTTGACAGCAACGGCTGCTGCTGAAGATAACCTTTTATATGCCGCTAATAATTAAAATTTTAATTTAATTAAGTGTTTTTAATAGTTTAGATATGTTTTTATAGATCAATGTGTTGAATTTGAACTCTACAATGGAGGTAGACAGTGAAATTTTAAGTTCTAGTTTTAACCCTCCGCCAAATAAATACCTTGATTGTTTGGGACAAAACAGTGTAAACCAAGAACAAACATTTCATGAAAACAGTTTTATCACAAAAAATGAACTAAATACAATTTTTCAAAATACTAGTCACTTCAGTGTAAATGATATAAAAACTATAAACTTATTCAATCATAAATTTGATTTAGGTGCAGCTTTTCAAAGACAATCCAAAATTTTGTTCAGCTTAGCACTGAAAAACTTGCAAGTATTCCATCAAAATGTCACAAATAATTTAACTGAAAGTATAAGCAATGATCGAGTTGACTATTATGATCTACGTACTCAAATAACTGATTTGCTGTACCATGCTAAAATGTATGTAAAAGATTTAAATAACATGCAATCTATTTACAACATTGTTTATTGTCATAAAGCTTTATTTGAAGAATTGACAACATTTCGATTATGTATAAACATGTTCTCGAATCTACCAGGTTATATTCTTAGACATTCCTTTTCAAATCGAGGCAACAGATGCACTCAGGCTTCGTATCATTTATTTCATGGACATTTGGAATGGAGATGGCATCATTTAATTATAATGTTTGAATTAAATAAAGGACATTCAGAAACTAATAGCAGTATTGAGAATAACGATCATACAACATTTGAAGAATATCTGCTATTATTCTTAGCTGATTTGATGATAATTGCTATTGAAATATTTGACAAAACTCAATTCCATGATGTGGTAGATACAACACCATTTTCATGTTATTGCGTAAAAGAATGTTGGTTATTGTTGCAGGTTTTAGTTGATGAATTGCATTCAAAAAGCCTGTTGAAAAGCTTTTGGTTTTACATAGATTTACTTTTAAATAAAGTTGTTGGTATTGGACCAGTAACACCAGAGATGAACAATTATTCCAAATTAAATATTCAACATAAATTTAAAACTGATGATAAGAATGGTTTTGGTATATGGTTGCTGATTCATATAGCTCAATTGCACGGATTCACTAAAAATGGACTATTTATTGGTCATTGTTCAGACAGGATATCTTCTCATTATAAAATGTTAGAATTGTGTATGAAACAAGCAGTTACTGAAGACGTAGCAGAAAAATCATTGAGGACATACATTATTTTAGTGTCAGATATAACAATTAAATGGTGGGAACCAAAGAATGATATCTTGGCTCTACTATGGGAGTACTTCCAAAAAAAATTAAACAGTTCCTTCTTTATCCAAGGTGCATCAATACAAACATTAGCAGTTTGCAGTAATACCGCTTTAGGTTACCTAAATAAAATCAAACAGCGTTTGTCTTGCCCTCATATTGATGCTCAAGAGTCTAGCTTCAACAACTATTTATATCTACTTGGTAAACATTTTATGCGATGTCGAGATAACAATGAGGTCTCATACTGGCAAAAGTTTAAAGGTCGTATATACCCAAAATTGTCTGCAAATAAATTATTCTCACTTACAGAAATGGGCTTGATAAACTTGACTTCTATGTTTTTGACTTTAGCCCACAGCATTGATGTTAATGAAATTGGCAAAAAATTGGTTGATATATTATCTCAAGTATCACATGAGAAATTAGATACAGCTTGTAAAGTAGTGATTATAAAAACTCATATATCGCTTATAATGCTGAATATTGAAAACAATTTAGACATTGCTTATGTTGCAAAGCCTCTGCTCGAGCTAGTTAATGGATCATTTACAGAATGTAATAATGATAATATCAATTTGGTGCTGTGTGTATTTATAGAAGGCATAGGAGATGTTTTTGATATATGCCAATCTTTTTATTTATCTGAATATCTTTTGATTGATGTATGGGTTTCCAAATTTTTGTCTGCGTGTAATCAAAGTAGTGCTTCTAAATTACTGGATATTTTTCTTAAAATGTTAGTAAAGTTGCATACTTGTTACAGACAAATATTTTTGATAGGGTCTTCAAACACAGATGATAATATAAAATTTAGGAAAATCCTGGACAAATTATTATCTCATGTACTACCTTTTGTAAAACAGAATGCAACAAATGCCAATGCTATTATACAAACAACTGATGCGGCTGTGTATTTTACATTGTTTTCTTTGTATGATGAAACATTGTATATGCAGTTTAATCAAAGTTTTATCACCTTGTTCAAATATTTTTCAGAAAATGAACATATTAATATAAGGATAACACGCAGATACCTAGTAAAGTTATCAACACATCAGGATGCAATTGATCATCTTCGAGTACATTTTACAAATTATGAAAGTCATTTTGTGCAAGCATGGGTCAAATGTTGTTTTTTATGTTATGATGATTTCAAAAATCAGGAAATGAAGGACCTTTTTTCGATTGTTCATGATTTTGAAGACCTAAAATTGCTATACAGCTCATCTCAAGTATCTTTAGAGGATGCTGAGGATACTGTATGTGCTTTATTTGTAGCAACTGGATACGAGTACAGCACTACTTCTAAACTTCACATCAAAACACAAATGCGTGAATTGTTGCACAATTATCTAGGGTCTTTGGAAAGTCATATCATCCCATTGATTAAAAATCCAACGTCATTAGACTTAACATTACGAGTATATTCTGTTATAGCAGTTTTATTCCTGCACTGTTCAAAATTACTATATGTAAGATCAAAACCAACTTGTCTCCTGCATATATTATTATCTCAGTTGATACTGCCCGCTGGCTTGTTCATGGATAAAAAGCCTCATCAATACATAATAACAGCAATGCGTAAAACTTGGTTTTTATTTATTAAAGGATTATTTGCTTTGAATTACAAAACAGATTCTTATATAGAAAAGGCACTGAAGGACTTAATTGTGGTTTATGTACCGTATTTTGGAATGCAAAATACAAATTTAGAGAAGTACTGCACAATACAACCAATTCACAAATTGATATGTTCTGACGATTGTACAGATTTGCTGTTGGATTTTGTTTATGAAAAATTGTACACAAATTTCCTTATATTTCGTGGAAAACAAGTCAATCAACATTCAGCAATGCTTCTTGCAATATTTTGTGATATAATCACCAAAAACAATAAAAACATTAGAATACTCAGAACATTTGTAAAAAACTTGGGAACATCGATTTTAGAACATATAATGTTTTTAGAAGATTTATCACCAAGCAAAAAATTAGCCTGCAACATTACTGAATCCATTATTCAATCTTCATATTTAGAAACAGATGAGGACCTTAAAAAATATTTTAGTAATTCCATTACCAATTTGACACAAAAGCATTTAGCATTTTGTTCAAATTATATATTTAGGCTGCTTAAAAAATTAATAGATATCATGCCTTCGGTTGTAGAATACACATTGCCCGATATAAAAAATCAAGTAGCTTGTGTTGAAGCCCGAAGAGGTGTTGGTCGTGATGAGGGATTAAGGAAATCTTTAGCAGAATTGGAACATCATATATTAAGAACTAGAATTTTATATTAAAAAGTACTGTACATGACTGTTCAAATGAACTTATGTAAATAATGACTTGGGATTTATCCTTATTCATATTTGTTTAACTAACTTATTTAAAGAAAATCTGTGATATAATAGGATATAAGCAGTTAACAAGGCTGTGATAAATTAATAGTATTTTAACTGGAAATAATTAAATAGAAATAATTTTATATCAAGAATGAAGAAACTGGCACATTTTACATATCAGTGCGTAATGCAAAATTTGGATACAAAAATTAATTTAAGTAGTAAGTAATATATATAATTATAAATAGATTCGTATACTCTTATATTTTAAATTACAATTTTTTATATTAATTGTTTTTCATTATTATACTTATATTACTGTTTTACATTACAGAATCTTTTGGATAATTTAGATTCTACGAGTTTCAACAAAGCTCCGTTTACACATTTTATACTAGAATTATGAAAATCAAGTCTTAAAATTATTCGTCAATTATTTTGATTGAAAATTATATGCTGATAATACTATAGAAGGTAAAATTTTAAACATTTACAAAGTCAAAGCTCATAATTTCGAATATTAATATATTTTTTTGTTTAGAAAAAGGAATTAAATACAAAGCAGTCTGTATCAGAAGAAAAATCGTGTGTGAAAATAGTATTAACAATAATATTTTTTTAATTTTTTGATATGAAATTATTTATGTTTAAATATTTTATTAAAATACTAATTTTATTATTTTTATATATCTATTATTTTTTAGCCATATAATTAAGCTCACAGTGTTCATAAGACAATGTTAAATATGTATTAAAATATTATTTCATTTTAAATAGTGTTTTTATTCAAATAATGAATTTTTGTACAGAAATTCATCCAAGTATTGAAAAAAGTAGTTTATTATGTTAACTGATTGTAGTTGCTTTTCTTAATTTTTAAATGTGTAGTAATTTTTTTATATAATTAATTTATATCATCTATTATTTGTTGTGTTTACTTTGTACATTATAAAATACTTCAATATATTTAATTATACAAGCATAATTTTTTATTATTAGATTTTCGTGATGTATCTAATATTTTCTTGATTGTTTTTTAATTTTTTGATATTTATTGTATATATTATAATATTTATTTTTATTTCCCAAAGGAGAAATTTCAAGTTTCAAGCATTCTGAACCAAAAAACAACGATTTCTTAATTTTATAAAATATATTTTGCTGTGTTTTTTTCTCGCCAGAAATTTTTCAACAGATTTCGAAAATTCATAAAGAATTTTCAAAAAAAAATTATAATTTGAAAAACAACACTTATATTTGATTACCTACTATATTTGAAATAATATAATTTAAACAAAAATTTTTGTTATACATTTATACACACGTAATTATTAAAAACAAATCACTCTTTAATATTTGTTATTATTTTTTTAATGAAATTTTCTGAAGAGAAATGTCCTTCCCATATCCCTTATAAGTTCTTAATAGTTATTTTCTTGTGCATCATGTTATATATTATAATGTTTCAAATTATATTACGTGATTAATATGCAAAATATATTTTATAAAATTACAAAATTTGCAAAATTTTCCATACTAATAATACAATTAAAAAGTTAGAACTTACGTAATAAACATCGATTAATAAATTGTCAACTTACTGTACTACAAATAGTATAGCAGGCTAACATTTATAAATGTACTTCAAAGCTTAAATGAATAATAGTATCTTTTCCAAGATTGCATTTGCAAGGATGTATATATAATTAAAACTATCTCAAGTCTTCATACAAAACAAATCATTGTTCTTAAAAGGCAACATCGAATGATGTGGTCTGTTTCTGATTCTGGACTTAATTGCACCATTATAAAACAAGAAATGCTTTTATACTGAGAATCATTTGATTAAGAGTATATAAAATAATGATGTATGGTATGGTACTTCTTCAATACATTATTCATCAGTTATTTGAAAGTTAACTTTAAATTTGTATAATGAAATAGACAAATGATATGATTATATAAAATATGAAAACTGTATTCATAATCTCTTATACCAGGCATCTATGTCTGAACTGAAAATAATATATCAATAAAATCAAAAATAATAATAAAAAAAATAATAAAGCAATAACAATTATTTGACTGACTCATAATATAACAAATAATTTCAAATATTTTTAGGCAATAAGCAGCTTAAGTTTTATTAAAACTCAAATTTTAGGAAACAGTCCCGAAAATTCCTTTAGTGTTTTTGTGCCTTTACAGATATAAGTACACGTAGTTAGGGCGTTGATATACATAAATACATATAATTTTATGTATATAAATATATGTGTATATTTATATGCATATTGGACCTGCCTTCGGGCAGACTACCATTCATTATGATTATTATTATATATTTATATTATATACTTCCCTTTTTTCAATTTTGGTTTAAATTTTTATTTATTCTTATTTGTACATTTGGTTATGTAGAATATCCTTTTCATCAGAAGTTTCTAAAGATAATTTATTAGTGAAAGAGATACAAATTTAATTAGTCATTTATTAAATTTCAGAATTCATTTTTTTAGGCTCATTCGTATTTCTATTGCTGATGATAAATGAAATGGAATCATAAAATTAATAAATAAATCACAATTTAAATGAATACACAATTATTTTAGAAGGCAATATGCGTAAAACTTAACTAAAATTATAAATATATATATATACACAGGGTGTCCCAGAACTCAAAGTCAAGCCGAAACGGTGTGTTAGTATTCATAGTAATTATTATGAAGGAATTTAAAAAAAATATTCCCTATACTTTGAAAATTATGGGCTTTTAAGGGCAACCTAGAGCTTTGGTGAAAATGTGATAGTTTTTCGGTTATTGTGGTTAATTTTGACTATTTTTGTTCATTTAAACTTTGGAACTTCAACCGTAAATAACATTTCTAGAACCATAGTGAAAAATAATGACATAATTGCTACACGTTTTCTAAAATTATGACTATTTGTTAAACTATTAATTTAAAAGCGTCAAAATTGATCGATTTTGAACGGCCTTTTTTTTAAGAAAAAAATGTACTAAAGTATGGTAGCAAGTTTCATCAAAAGTTTGCGAATTTAATCAGGATTGTATAATTGTGAAATACTTGATAATTTCTCAATAAAAAAATTCGAGTAAAAAAAGTAAAACCTAAAAATAACACGGTTTTTGATAGTGCATTTCATTTCATTCAGAATCGTAAATATTTATTAAAAAACGAGGTGTGAAATATTCATTGAAAATTTTTAATAGTATTTTAATATATTATCGAGAATTTTACCATATTATAATCCTGATTAAATGCGCCAACTTTTGATGAAAGTTGTTAACACACTTTAGTACATTTTTTTTAAAGGAGCCTCTCAAATTCAAACCGATTTAAAAATTCTTAAACTCATCGTTCAATAAAAAGTCTTAATTCTTTAAAACTTTGGGCAATTGTAGAATTTTTTTTTAATATGAATTGTTATTCGTTACGGTTCAAAAGTTTAAATGAACAATATTAGTCAAAAGCAAACAATAATAAAAATTTAGCCATGATTTCATCAAAGCTCTAGGTTGCACTTAAAAGCTCAATTTCTAAGTGAGATAATTTTTTTCTAATTTTTTTCATGACAGTGGAGGTCAATATTATTACCCCGTCTCGGCTTGATGTCGAGGTCTGAGTTACCATGTTCCTAAGTATATGTATAATATATGTATATGTTTACATATAAAAATAAAAATAAGAATATGGTGTATATGTTTACATATAAAAATAAAAATAAGAATATGGTGTATATGTTTACACCAGCTCTCCATCTAAGATATACTTATGCTCGCGTGTGAGAAAATCCGTAGCATTTCCCCCTAAGTGTTTTTTTCTTACTCCGTATTTTCCTCTTTGATAAGATAGAAAGAACAACTTTCACTTAAGATGTTTCTCGGATAAGAAAACAACACTTAGATGTCTGAGATCAAATGAATAAAATAATTTGAAGAATTATTTGATTGTTTACATACTTTCAAATGTTACTTCTGAAGTAATTTAAAAAATGAAACAAACATCAATTGCTTTCTTGGAATGTTTGGGAGAAAGAAAAAATGCTTCGTTTTAGGAAATATAAAAAGAAGCATGATAATACATTGAAATGTAACAAATACACTACATATATCATACTTCTTTAAATTAAATGTGCAAACTTTTGATGGAACTTGCCAACTTTATTTGGTGCTTTTTTTTAAAGGAGGGTCTCTCAAAGTTGACCGATTTTGAAAATTTTAAAATCCTAATTTAACGAAGTATTAATTCTTGAGAACTTGGCAGCAATTGTATGATTATTTTTGACTGTGGTTCTAGAAATGTTATTTACTATTGCGGACCCAAAATTTAAATTAAGAAAATAAATAAAAATTGACCACATTAACCAAAATTTATCACATTTTTACCAAAACTCTAGGTTGCACTTAAAATCTTATAATTTTCAAACGTAAGATAATTTTTATTTTTAAATTATTTCATGACAGTTATGTTTAAAACTATCACCTTGTTTTGGCTTAACGTTGAGTTCTGGGACACCCTGTAATTATACACATTGTCCATTTTGCTCATCAACCCCATCAATGTTTAACATCAAGTTTAATTAACGTGAACCTCATTTGAAAATGATCTTATATCCTTTTAAGGTCCAGTTATAGAGATACCAGAAAGGTAAACTTAGTGCCCAGAAGGGTTTACAAAGTCCTTGATAGGTCAAAAGGTCACAAGAGATTTAAGGATGTGACATGCGAAGGGTATAAATTATAACAAATGGGTGACACCTTGAACGATTGATAGAATATTAGGTAGGTAAAATAAAAAAGGATTTCTTGACCGGAAAAATTGTTATGGATGAGGAAAGGATTTTGAATATATACTTGGATATGAAGGTTTGTCATGTGGAACTATGTGGGTTACGATACTCGAAGGTATTTTTATAACACAATTTTATTTATGAAC